ACAGAGGTGGAATTTTGGAAGGGCTTTGATCAGTATACAGCTCTGAAAAGTGCTGTGAGGAGAGAGGAAATATGTTGTTGCCATGGATACTACAAAAAAATAGGTGAGAGGGAATATGTGGCTAAATAGTTTCAGGAAGATGTTTGGTTTGGTGTGGAAACTGCAACTCCCAGTGTGAGAGAGTATTGATAGAAGTTTTTAGTTTCTATCGCCCGACCTGCTCACAAGTGTTGGCGTTAGAGATCTCGGTGGATCAGCAGGTAATGCCCCCATAGGCCGGAGGTTGAAGTTTAGGCCTACCTCGATGTGAATGGCTATCTATTCCCCTCTGTTAGATTATGGGCTGATATTCAGACTTCCCCGTTTCCTGCCAGGTAGAATCCAGCTCAACCCCCCAACTCCCTCCTGCCCACCCTGTGCTGCCTCCTCTGGCTCCAGTCCTGAACCTAACCCTCAGAGGAGCGGAAAATAATTAGGAGAGAAAATTGCAGCTGACACTATTTCTGAAAAGCAGGGTATTGTAATGAGAGCAGAGCAGGTATTCATTGTGTCTGAGGGAGCGATTGAAAGCCCTTGGTTTCAGGCTGCCTGGGAGAAGCCCAGGGAGAGTAAGCAGAGCTTTGCTGAGTCCCTTAATGCATGTGGGAACGGAGCCTTGAGAGGACGAGGCAGAGGTGTCTTCAACAATGGCAGGAGCCAAGGTTACAGCTGAGTAACTAATTCAAACTGCTCTAGACTGACACACACACTTGCACGCACACACCCTCGTCTCCTTTGTCTCTCTCAATATGGCTCCCCCTCTGTCTCTTGCTCTCTCCTTGTTCCCATTATGAGTTCAGAGGGATGCCGTCCAGCCACCGCTCAAAGTTATCTTCATTAGCTGTGCGGACTTTCTGGAGTGGCTGCTCGGGGAAGCTTTCTCTAAGCAAGGCACTCAGAGAAGATGAATAAATGTTTTGTCCCACATAGGCCCAGCCTAAAGCAGTGGCAGGCTGCAAGGAGAGATAGATGAGGTATTAACTGTTATATTTTTCAACGGGGGCTGAGGAAGCCCAGCAGTGGGGTGGACAGAAGCAGATGCTGCCGCCTGAATATTAAGCCTGTTAAACGAAATGTCCTCCATAAAGAAGTCTTAACAGGAGTTGAAATATGGCACTGGGCACCACTGATGGTGCATCACATAGCTGGGCACATGTTCATCTTTAGGCTTCTGCTTCACATGTGATTCAGACAGAAAGGTGGGAGTTGAGCTTGAGAGAGAGAGAGAGAGAGAGAGAGAGAGAGGCCGCTTTGATCACCTTTTTAGTGCTGTGATGCAGGTGCATCATCAGGATGGGCACACTGTTTAGCATTTTAATATGATTATTGTATCTAATTAGAGTGGAAAAGGGACATAGAAATAATGGCAGAGTGCTATTGAAACTACTCCTACAACTACTTCATTAGAAACATGACATTTACTTACTAAATAATACACTTACTTACTTTTCAATTGAATAATGTTCACCTGATAATTGAATTAAATTAGCAGATATGAAAAATGTCAAAATCAAAATGTGCAAAATACAGAATCATCATTGTCAAAGATTTTTGGGGTCTCATTGTGAACAATGAGACGACATGGCCTCCTTTCTGAAGTGAATGTAAATGCCATTCTTAGTTAATGAGAATCTGACTCTGCCTTTGTAATGTTGCAGGCATCCATAAAGTGGAAATCTACGGGGAATAATGCTGAAATCCCACTTAAATGAGAAAATAAATTAATGGCCAAATTGCATGTGGGTCATATCCTCCACTTACGGAAACTCGGATCTGCTTTTAGTTGCCTAAATAATGGACATGGAAAAATGTATTGACAATCAAGTTTTGAATGCCCACTCGGCAATTGAATTTGAAATTACAAAGTACATTCTGAAGTGTCTCTCTCTATCTCTATGCTTCCCTACCAATCTCTCTATATCTGTCTCAAACACACAGAAATACACACATACATACACTACCCACGATGCATCTGTCGTACTCCACCCATTCCGTGAAGCGCTCTAAGTAAAGCAGGTAAATTAAATCTGTAGCGGCAGCATCCAAGGCTCTGGCAATCAGCCAGATCAGTTCAGCATCTCCTTCTCCAGTTACGGGCACTGTGAACACATTTCCAGGCTTGTAGGGACTTGCTGACACTAGATGCACAGTGACACACTCTGTAGCATCAGAAAAAAAGAGTTTCACACTCGCTGTAGCTTATGCAACCATGAACAGGAGAAGCAGCGAAATGGAAGCTGAAACTATTATCTGCAATCTTATTCTTCGGCTACTGAGATACAATACAGAACCCCGAATGCTGCGTTCCCTGGGTGCTCATAGGTAAGAGATCAGCCATGCTTGGTTGTGATGAAAAGGAAGTGTCTGGGGAGGATGGACTCCTACGGGAACGCTGCAAACTGGAGGAGGGCATTATTACATTTAACCTGCCTGGCTTTATTTGACCATGAAAACATTGTACACCTGTTCTAGGGAAGCATTGAGAATATTTCTCTGCTTATAATCTTTCTCTCCTGCCTGATTTCAGGTTGTAACAACATGTTTTTCAAAGGAACAGCCCAATTACTTTACACTATAATGAATAAATACAAACAGAAATATCTGTCCGATTTGACCAATAGAGTGTAACACATTAGTTCACCCGAACTACAGGTTGCCAGCCTTGTTGAAAGACTGGATCCAGTTGGTGTTTAACAAGTAGATAGAACCAGTAGAGCCGATACATTTACTGAGGAGTGCTCAGCAATTACCACTTGAAAAGTTTTTATCTGCAGTGTAGTGGTTATAGAATAAATACAAGATGTGCAACATTAGTTATAGAATGAATCTGCTGCAAGATACTGTAGCCTGCCAATGTTTAAAAACTGCTGAAAGACACAATGCACACTATGGTTTCATCATATCCCTTATGTGTTAGTGCCTTTGGACTCTTTTATGTTCCATATCACACTGGGATGGGAAAACTGCATTTGAATGATATATCTAGAGGCACAAAAAACTGGAAGTGATTTTAATGCATTATGTTATAACAAATGTATATAGTATATTACATGCATATGTTCTGTACTATATATAAAACAAGATAGCAAGAAAAGGAAGTATTAATGAAGTATTAAAGATTTTAATTAAAACATTTCAGCCAAATTAGAACTTCACATGAAGGGTCATAAAACTTTAATAACACTAAAGCCTGGGGAAAACTTGATCAATTCACCTTAACAGTGAACACTGTCAGGAATGGAGACATTAGAAAGTATTGACTGGCCTGTCACTGCTGCAGATCCAGCATCAGGTGAACACATTTAGGTTTTTTAATCTTATTAATTCAGTGCTGTAACAAAACACAATAGAGAGGCAATGTTTTGTTTTATGGGAGGAGCGACTTTATGTGTACACAAATGAGAAACACGCTTATAGAGCTTTCAGTTCAGCCTGTGCATTTAGCAACTCATGTTTGCAAGATGTCGAGAGGCAATTATGATGCAAATAAGTGTGGCTGATGATCATGGACAATCTTGTTTGCACAGTGGATATTATAAAAATGCCAAGCCTACAGCCAGCACTACATCCGCTCTGCGGTGTGTTAAGTAGCTTTCATTGTCACCAGAGCGATACCTCCTCATATCCACATCACTGTCAGACTCATGTTACTTTTTCGAAAAGCCATCAGGATTCGTCTCTGTCAGCTGCCTGTCCCTCAGTCCATTAAAGATGATTGATAGAGCTAGAAAATCATCCGCCCAGCTGTTGTCGTTGACTCATCCCTAAGAAACTGAAAGGAGCTCAGAAAAGGACCATCCCTCATCAAAAGACCTTTTGTCTGTGTTGACGATGTGAAGCAAAGTACATTTTTGAAGATAGTGTATAACTAATCTTCAGCCCATTTTTTTCCCTGGCACTGTACGTGAATAATCATTACATTACAGATGAAGATACACATTATGTGAGTCACATTATGTCTTTTATCAGGAATATATATTCAGATTTTTCTTTCAGTTTTATCTGTCACTCAGTTCTTTGTTCTTCACCAGTTCAGAATATGTAAACATTGGTTATCCTGCAGGCTATCTTAACTCTCCATCGTTTTAGGTTTGATGGATAAAGCTACTCTGTAAGACTTGCTCTCTCCAAGTCTTTACAAAGAGAAACCAAAGAAAAGACACGTCCGTGTGTCCAACTGCTACTGCTACTGTTATCCTCTAATGGCTTGTGAGGATTTTTACAGGACAACTTGAGGAGGATTTTATGATGTTTCAGTGTGATTGATAACATGCTCTTGGAGGGATGTCAGGCTTTCAGAGACGGATAATGTGGATTTCTATCTCTCTGCCTTCTTGTGTAAGACATGCCATCAATCAAGTGTATCGCGGCCTTAACCCGGTAAAATTAAAACCTTAGGGGGGCGGGGGCCCGGGGTCTCCTTAGAACCAGGACACACACATCAACAGGGAGCACGACAGAATCAGAACACAGATCCACATCATAACAGGCACACCACAGAGAACAGGACAGATATAAGATTCCCACCACAGGGCAGAAAATACAGTTAATGATCTAACTGTATATCTCTGTTGACAGCGGAGAGGGATTACGGGAAGAACAGTCTCATTTTCACTGTGTGTGGAGGCGTTATTAGATCCTAGCCCAGCTAATTTCATTCCTAAGCTCGTCAATATTTACCAGCAACAGGCGCAGCACGGTATGGCACACCCAGTCCCCCTACAGAGAGGAGATACAGAGCTGGGGAGATAATTTGAGAACGTAGACATTCAGTAACCAGAATCAAACTCATGAACATAATTTCCAGCTTGTTGTTGGGCTTGGCCCTGTAAACACTTGTTTGTTTTGACATGATAAAGCACGCAAACTGCTAATTAGCCCGGCTGGTTATGTGCCTCTGCCTGTATTGTTTGTCCTCAGGTAGGCCTTACCTTCTCTTTGTATGTCTGTTTGTGTTTCAGTCGATGGCTGCATACACAAAGCGGCAGGGTCCTGTCTGTATGATGAGTGCCACTCACTAAATGGCTGTGAAACCGGCAAAGCCAAGATCACCTGCGGCTATGATCTCCCTGCAAGATGTGAGTATCAGTAATTAATATGTTATTTTCTGTTTGTTCTGTAATGTGTGCACTGGTGCCTCGGAGGAATGTTCTCTAATCAGAATTGCTGCCATTGACTACATCACTTGACTGTTAGTGAACATTAAGATTTAGTGGTAAACATTAGAGCAGTGAAACATTACACATTCCAGCATGAATCTATATTGTTTTTTTTTATAAAATAACCTAATTTTTCCAAACTTAAGACTCCTGGACCAGCTGCTGGATTGCACTGACACTGTACTGATACAGAAAATGGAAATGTTGTTTTTTTGCAAAGCTGTTGGATTGTACAGAGGAGTATGTAATTCATGTGTGCACATGCATCATAATTTGAATTGAGGTCATAGTTTCTGTGACGTTTGGATAAACATGATCACATTGCAAACTCTAAATCTACACACAAACACACATATTCCCACTCATATGTGCATACCTGCACATAATGACTGTGGTCATTAGTGCCCAATCCAAAAGCAGAGTGGGATGCTTTTAATGTCCAAAATAAAAACACTTTAATCATAATTTATTAGTTTTGAAAACTCATTTGTAATAAATGGGGAGTTGTTATTTGGAGGATAATTAATATGATTGGTGCTTGTTGTATGGCTGAATGGGAGTGTCATCTGCACACAAACAAAGACATTAAGGGAGCTATTAGTTGCTTAATTTGATTGATTTTTCATCCCTGATTTATTCTGTTAACGGATCACATAACTCCTACTGTCACGCCATAAGTGATCAGAAGAAGGGACTACATTGTTTTCTTTGTTTTTATCTCTATCATTGATGTAGTTTTTTTGTAATTAAGTCTCATATAGTTTGTGGTGCGCTTGCATGTGTGTCACCTCCTCTCAGAATTGAAGAACAAATTTCCAAGCTAATTTCTTTTGTCAGTAACACACGTGTCACATTTAAAGTTTGTCACAGGCGTTCCTTTCCTTGCAAACTTGAAATGGAAAACACGATAGGATGGAAGAAATGTCACTTGGTGTAATTCGGTCGAGACAAACGTCCCAGCAGTCCTAACCTAACCCTGAAGGATTTCCATGAGACAGCCAAGAGAAGACATTGAGGCCCAGATGAAATTAGGTTGTGTTAATACGGTATGTCGTAAAGATGTCAAACAAATGGAGCAGATAAACTGTGAGTCAGTCTTGTGGGCAGGCAGTTCAAGTGTGTGCACAGCCAAAACAGGGTACACCATGACAATTTAATAACCTGCAATGTCACCTGGGAGCAATCACACTGCCACTTGGTACTGTTATTGTAATTATCTCTGCATAACACCTTCTCTGTGCTGATAACTCTTAATAGATTGTGTAGTTCTTTACTGGGAACAGTCAGTTCTTTTTTGAACGTGATGTTATTTCATATTAGAGCTATCTTTACTTCCAGTCTGTATCATTTTCTTATCTTCCAACTCTGATCACTGTCACCATAAACGTCTCTCGTCTGCTCTTGGAAACTGACAGCCGCTTGACTTTTCTTTGTGAGCTCTCAGCTCTGACAAAAGATCTCACTCCTTCCCAAAGTCTATCTCCTATTCGGATTTTGTTCTTTTCCCATTAATTTCCGTCTTTGACTTATTTGTTCCACCTACACACACATTATAAAGCTGCCGTGACTGCAAACAACAATCTATTCGGTTTATGAAATCTGAAATAATAGTCTGTCCACCCCCTCAACGCTGAACAAAGTAAACAAACAAGACAGCACACAATTTTCGCATTTTTAAATTTTCATAAATTCTGGGATGTAACACGTAGGCGTTGCAAGAAAGGGTAAAAGCCCTCAGTGAAATGGCAGTGTATATGAGATTAATTGAAAGTTAATGTTATGTTAATGGTCCACTGTGGCTAAAGCTAAATGCATAAAATGATTAAAATTGACATAAAATTAATTTTAATATTTGTATAATCAAATTATTAACTTCAGCAAACAGCCTCATGTCATTATTCAGAATAGATAGATCATCAGGATAATTGACAGAGGTGGCTATGGAAACTACACCAAAGTAGTGTTATATTTAAAATAAAAAGCAGCTAAATAAGTACAAGCTTTTCCACTCATAACCAGAACTGAAAATGTTTTTGAGAGAAAATTGACCTAATTGAGAGCTACATTTAGAGTTGTTTGTTGAGTTAGTTTTCACATGTCATTGTCTTGTCTGTCAAAAGAGTTAGACAACTGAAATATCAGCGCGGTCATAGTGGGTGTTTGGAAAATATAGCATTTGGTGATGTTGTTAGCACTTTTGCAGATTGATTTCTGTCGGTTGTCAGACGTCAAATCCAAAGGCTTTTAAATTGTTAAGCGATACTATTAGACACGTAAGTGTCAGGATTCAATTGGTGAGACAAATGACACACATGGACCAATTTGGCTATACAAATGAACACACACATATTTCAACAACATAAAATAGAAAATGTATATAAAAATATATTTACAAATGCAAGGTTTCAGGAGTCTTTGAACTATACACATGTGGGCATTCTCATTGCATGCAAAATTGCTTCTGCTGACGCATATCTGCAGATGGTGGTTCGTCTACTCTTCCAAGAGTGAGAAGAACACAGACAGATGGACCATTTACCGTTTACATCTTGGCAAAGCTCAATATTTCCAACTTGGGCATTCTCTTCCCAGTTTTGCCTGAACATTAGGCTGCTTTTCACAATTTTCTATAAAAACATAAATCTCTCAGAGGATTGCACTCTTCTTTGGGGACCCCCTCACTGAAATCCATTTTACTGAATATAATTGGAAATAAGTAAATCTAAACCCTGAATAATGCTGAACAAACTGTAAATCACTTTGGTTTTAATTACATTTTTTCTGGATTTCTGAACCCCATTCCAACCCCATTGAACCCCAGTCATCTTATGACTTTGCCAACAATGCATAGAAATAACCCATCCATCATACTATGAATTTGGCCATTTCTCTTGATCTTACAGCATTTTTGGAGACTTAAGTGTTATTTGAAGATATCACCCATGGTGTATTGTATTTCATTCAACAAAGGATTGCACTGGTCAACTTTGTTATTTTTGTAAGAATGGGAGAAATTGCAATTCAGACATAATAGTCAAAATAACTGGTAAAGCAATAAAATACTTCCTTGTGTTCTGGAAAACGACTTATTCCTACAGGGAGTAGACAGTTGATCTGAAATCAGAGTTGTCCTTGTTTGGAGATTTGATGTGCTGAGGCAATGGAAAATGACCAGGCTAACCCACCCCATCTCAGCTTTTTCTTTTTTTTTCTCAAGACAAGAAAATTGCTCTCCATTACATCCCACTAAGCAGTTTAGGCTGTGAATCCCGGTGGCAAATGAGCCTTTCCTTTAAGAGGGCCAAGCACATGTGGGACTGATTATTATGGGGCAGGCCCAGGATTATTAATCAATGACAGTAATTATCCACCTACCATAGCGGAAAGACTCCAAAAAAACCTGTTACATCAATATGACAAGGAAATTGTCTATTTTCCCTCATGTTAGACAAGTTACTCATCTGTTCATAGAATAATTATCAAATGAAAATATGATGTCAAGTGCAACAAGCTAAGTCACATATTTACTACCGGAGGATGTGTTGCAACATTTTCCATTATTGACATGTCTCAAGTTTAAGTATGCTTTCAAAAGTGACCAAATTATTAAGTTAAGATGGGGTTTGTCCACCAAATATAGTATACAATCATGCCAAATATTAAAGAAGGCTGTCTATTAGGCAACTAAGATAAGTAATAGACAAATCTATTCAACTTCAGCTTCCAAAATAAGATCCTTTTTAAAAGGCTGAAATGTAATAGAAACTTTAATTGTACTCATTTTGATATTCAAAATGGCCACCATTATTACAGCTAGACTTAGCTAGATGTATTATAGTTTATTTTCCATCTATGGCCATCTACAACACATATGCTTGTCTCTTTAACACCAGCAGTTGTTTCATACCATCTTTATACGGTAATGGTGCTCATTGTACTAGGTTTATTACTGTCTTTTGTAGCTATAGACATCATTTAGTCACCTGTGAACATTTGCTATAAAACAGTTTTTTTTAAAGTTGTGTAAAGTGCATTTCCCGGCCTGTGTCTGATAAGAGGATGCCCAGTGGTTCAGAAAAGCATCTTTATGCCTCTCATCCGATGAAATGCAGTGAATGACTTGGGAACTGTCCAGTATGGTGCCTTTTCTGGCTCAACTGGCTCAACTACTTCAATCTGTGAGCACAAAAAATATATATATTTTTTTTTTCCTGGCCAAGCATTTAAGAACATTTAACAAACTGGGAACAAAACAAAGTGGGCACAAATAATGTTGGTAGTGTGGTATGACTGCATCCAGCTTTTTCCTGAAAAGAAAAAGTAGAATCAAAAGAACCAGAGTTTTTCTTTTTTCTCACATAATCATCCCAAATATCAAAATTAATTTGGTAGATACAATATTTGAAACTTTGGAATTTATTGCATGATATTGAACATAGCTCTAGTCTTACACACTATATTTGTCTTTATTTTACTTTTTAATCAAAAAGCTTCATTAAGTACCTCATCATTTATGAAGATTTACTGCAGCTTAAATGTGCTGCAAACAAAGGTGGTTTAAGCAGTTAGACAGGAGCTTAATTAGAGTAAATTTATGAAAATTAATAACTTAATCTCTTCTCCTATAAGTGACTGAACATAATGATCTGCATTTGTAAGCTTGGTGAGCTTGCTTACTGTTTATAGTAAAACACCCTATTTGCAGTGTGAGAAAATGTGTTATTGTAATTTAAATGTGTGACACATCTGAGGATGATCTGCAGTGACTAAACTCTACAACAGAGTTGTCTGAATCTTATCGTTATTATGCTGGTCCACAGGTTCACACTAATAACGTTTAGCAAAGGCTTTGTGGGTTAATCTGCACTTGCACATTTCAGCCCTAGCTGTCACAGTAGACCTAGAAGGTATTTAGAGTT